ACATTCTATTTTTGATACATTTCTCTTAGCAGTGCAGATATTAATGCAAATTGATTCTTAAAATGAATGTAACTAAGTATGTATGTTTAAATAACATTGACTTGAAACAGTTGTCTTGAAAGTTACACATTTATTCTTACTGATGAACATTTTTGGATGTTCTCTTTTCAACTTTCCTTTACACTCTGAGCGCATTTTGTAAAAGTTTCCTCAGTGGGGATAAACCTTTAGTCTTTGAAGGCATATTTTATCTTTTAAAATAGCCCAAGACTACTCCAAATATATTCTTTAGGGCACAGTGAAGGATACAGTATTTTTGTGGTCAAAACCAGGTGATAAGGCAGATGGTAAATGGAGCTGTAAACTGATGATGAATAAAAACTCCCAAAGAGGAAGTCTTTTTTTTTGTTTGTTTGCTTTTTGGTGAGAAATAGCAGCAGCTTTTGAAGAAGCATACACCTCTCCCAGGCGTCCACTGTAAAGAGGGCGGCACATCAATGTCCAAAGAGAGACTCATTGCTTTGTAGGCACCCGCCATGCATTATCTTCTCTGTGGTCTATGGTAATAATCACTGGGAAGTCGGTAACAATGGTAGCTGTCATGAATAAGTGCCTACCACGTGAAGAAGGCAACTTCATAGATACCGATCATTGTGTTTGGTTATGACCTCCATTTTCACAGATGAGGAAACCACCACTTGGAATTAAATGTCCACGATACCCAGGTAGGAAATGGCAGTGCTAACTTGAAATACCAGGTCCGTCAAGCCTTGGGGCTGGGTTCTTCCATTTCACAGTCCTACCCGGACAGGTGTTGCTTCTCTTTTATATATGAGAAAATGAAGCCCCTTGATCAGGGTGATTGAGCAAGTGATTGGTTTTCTGAGGCTAGCCTAGCAGCCTCTCCATAGCGCTCTCCTCACCCTTGTCTGATGATATCCTTCTGAGCCAAAGGGTGGGGCGGGAGGGTGTCTCCAGCCAGTGTCTGTGTGCAGGACACAACTCTCATGCACGACCTTGAATGGAGACGCAGGGTGAGTCTTCTCCTGTCTATGACCTGCAGACACGCCAGCCTCTTTAAAAAAAAGTTTTTTTATTTTAATTTTCATTCATTCCTTTCTGTTTTCTTGCCTCGGTTTATTTTGCTTTTTGATTTCTAACTGGGAGGTGGTAGATAGGTTTATGTATTTATTGATTTTTAATGGAAGTACTGGGGATTGAGCGCAGGAGTTCGTGCATGCTAAGCATGCACTCGACCACTGAGCTATACCCTCCCTGGCTCGCCAGACTCTTGAAGGAAGGAAAGAGGTAGGGAGCATCAAGGTCATCTTTTCTCAGGAGGTGCAGGTTTTCAAGTGTCCTAGTCTTTCCCATGTGGTTTGGATCCTTGGACCTGTTCTAACTGGAGCTATCGGTTAAGCCTCTGACTCTAGCATTTATCTCTTTGGCTACTGAATTAGACTTTCCCCTCCTACTGAGGTCCAGCCAGGACAAAGTCTTTCGAGATTTTCTTCTTTCAGGAGGTTTGGGTATCCCTTTGAGGCTGTCAAAACTTTGGGCAAGAAGGATGTGGAAGTAGAGAGCCTTCTCCCACTAACTATGCATTGGCCGTCATTCACACAGTCTGGTTCCTAAAATGTGGGGCTTAGGGTCATACCTAAGGGGATATGTGATCAGTGAGGGAAACAAGGGGCCGCATTTCTGAACACACTGTGTGTGTGTGTGTGTGTGTGTGTGTGTGTGTGTGTCTGTGTCTGTGTGTGTGTGCAGGCATTGGGAAAGTGTGTGTGCTGGTCTTAATAATTAGGAACCAAGACTGGTAAATATCAAAGGGCCCAACTGTGTAAAAATAATTCTTATATCCAGGGGTAACCAATGCCCTGAATGTTGTATCTGTGAGACCCAGGAGCTCAGAGGCTGGAGGACCTGGCTACGACCCGACATTACTGCAGGTGGTTCTGGTGCCTCAGGCCTTGGGCATAGGACAATCAAAATGTATTTGAAAACCCTGTTGGTTTGTGCACTCATAGCTCTTCATAGACGGACCTATTGCTTTCCATTGGTTCCAGAAGAGAGTTGAGGCAATCTTTGATGGTAAGATGTTAATTCTGAACACTAGGAACAGCGCTGGCCTAGAGAGGGGTTGCAGCAGATTATTCCTGTCAAATGTCCAAAAAAGTCCAAACTACCTCATTCAGTGGACAGCTAAGTGTTTGGCTAAAGTTGGCTATGCGTAACTCTTTTTGAGGTGGGAGACTATAAATCTCTATAAATACAGAAATAGATCTATGATTTTCTGTGTCATCAGACAAGGAAACAAAGGGACTACAAATCAGTTGCAGATTTGCAGATTTTCTTAGGAGATCCATTCTCTTTTCCAGAGAGTCCTCTTCCTGCTCTCAGACTCAGCAAAAGTTCTCATTTAGGCTGCATTCTTCTATACAATGTCTGCGTACCTGAGCTGTGTGTTTCCTGATTGTGGTTTTCATCTGGACTGTGGGCCAGATGTTTTTCTTTCACTACATCCAAAAGGCTTCTCTTCTGAGGACTTCATAAAGTCAAGAGATATTGAGTTGAGTGTAGAAGGAACCCTGGACGTGTTGCTAACAATGAGCGCTTGAGACAGGTATGCGTGTGCAATAACTAGGTGCAAATATAACAGCAGGGTCCCAGGGTTAACCACCCATGATGTTTAACTAGATCCTCTGTTACTCTTCAGGAATGTGCCTCTCCTGAAATGTCTTCCACATCTCACAATGATCCAGGTCAGTTTCCAGTGGGCCGGCTGCATCCTTCTGTAAAGGTTGATATGCTAACTGCCGATCCTCTGACTGCAATTGTTTGCAGTCAGTGTTGAGACAACACCGCAGGCAGCCATGGTTCTAGAGCTCCAGCTGTGATTGCTCCAGTCATGCACAGAGCTGAGCAGATTCTGTCACTGCAGGTGCCTGCTGCAACTGTCCAGAGGCGTCTCCGTGTGCATGGATCTGCTGCAGTAAGATTTGTATAGACTTTCCTAACTTTTGGCAGGAACAATTCCTATGTTAAGTGCCACTTTGGAAAAAAAAAGTTTTTTTTTTCTTTCTGGTGACGCCCTGTATTTCATTGCTAAATGTTACCTGTGACTGTAGCCGTTCTATAATATCAGATCCTTTTGTGACATTGACTACTTGGCCATATTGTGCCCAACTGTCAGTGAATCCCCTGGAGGAAATTACTCCCACGTTATTGTGCAAATGATGGCGTTACTGCATTGGGCAATACATTCTTTGTCTCTTCATAACTTCTGGTGGTTGCTGGAAGTCCTTGGAATTCCTTGGCTTGTAGCTAAATCACTCTAACTTCTGCCTCTGTCTTCTCGCTTCTGTCTTCCCACTGTATTGTGTCTGTTTGTCTGTGTCTTCACGTGGCCTTATAAGGGCACTAGCCATTGGATGTAAGGCCCACTCTAATCTAGTCTGAACTCATCTTAACTAATTACAACTGCAAAGACCTTATTTCCAAGTAAGTCACATGTTGAGATTCTGGGGGGACATAAATTTTTGAGGAGGACACTAGTCAACGCAGTGTAATTCCAGATCTCTGGACAATGGATCCACTCCTTTTCCAGGCACTCACATCTCTGCTCCCTAACTTGAGTTTTGCAAGAATAAAATCCCACAGAATGCACAGATAACTCACCTAGTCTGAAATTTGGAAGAGTTCAGAATTTTAATGCAGTAACTAACTGGGTTCTGTCCTGGTAATGCTATAATTAGGTTACCTTTATTCCTTTATGAATCATTAACTTTGAAAACTGCTGGTTCAATCTGTGACAACCAGTGATACATCATCTTTAACCAGTCTGCACCTTCATAAAAAAAAAAATGCTGCTCAAATACTAATTTATTGCTCCGTGACACAAATGATGCATCTCAAACAAACTCGGCCAATTTTAAGGATGATTTCTGGGCTGTTTAAAAAGGCTGCTTTTGCCAGCTTTTGGAAAATGTTGCTTTAGAGATGATTATTTTCTGTTTCAGGACAAATCCATGAATTTGGTCCATTCATCTTAGCCATAGTGAACTCATGCATCTCTTGTCCATAAAACTTGAATATTCGGGTGTCAGAAGTGATTTTTCTGAAGTTAACTTTTCCCATACTTTGAGTTATCAGTTTCTGTCGTGCTGGTGTGCTTTTCAGTGGAGGTTTTATTACATTGTGTTGGCAGCACATTATGTTTTTTACACATGGATTTGATTGAGAAATGAAACTGGAATAAGAATGAGGTAGCAGCAGAATCTGCTGCAAGACTCAACTTTGCTGTTGTCAATCAGCCTGATTGATTAAATATGTTGGTACCCATTTTTATTAAAATGAAATGCTTCTCTTGAAAAAAGGACCATTATGCCAATAGATCATATGACTCTCCTGAAGCGTGTGCCTGAGGAAAAGTCCTCTTGGCAGAGAACAATAACTGTAGATAGCTGGCACCAATAGGAGAGTTCAGATTAGATCTGGCTGGTTTTATAATGGATTTTTTTTTTTTAATGTTTGGAAGACGAGAACCAGCATTTTGGGGGAACTACACTCTGTCCAAGGGTTTGAGTTTGACTGGATTCTCAAACATTGTCCCTTCATCTGCTGATGTCCTATGGTCTACTTGGCTTTAAGGCATCCAGTATGATTCAGACCTTTTTAAAAATAAGAGCAAACATTCCTCTCAACTGATGTTCCACTTCTCTCATTTTATACTCACACCCATTTTTCACTTGCCTCTGTTATAAATCTGAAAAACTGACATCCAAACAGAGATGAGAACAGAGATTCTTGAGAATGAGAGTAGATGGGTTATCCCATTGACTTGGATCAGAATCCAACATTCTTGTCTGCAAAACTCTGAAATTTGGAGGAACTTCAAAGAGGAAGTGAGGAAGGGTTGGATATTAGACCATTACAAACCCAAAGAGATGAAATTAAGGAAATCAGGACTGCTCCCCAGAGGAGGAAATAATGATTTGATTGAGTCTATTCAATTTGACTGTGGGTGATGTTTTTGTCTTGCTGTGGTCACTCAAGTCTCCCCGGCTGGTGCTGAGAATTCCTGGAGCGTTGATGCTCCGTGCTGGCTTGGGTCAGCCTAAATTCCAGGAAGCCTCTTTATTCATGGCCTCCAGGGAACTGTCTCTTGTTGGAATCCGTGTAGGATGATAACCCCAAAAGGCTCATGCATTAGTGTAAAACACAGAGTTTCAGAAGAGAGCTTTTCAGAAAAATAAGTGGGCAATAAGAAAAGAAAAGTCTTTGGAGTAATTCCTTTAACACAGAGAATGCTTCTGCTTCAGGGCTTGTGTCAAGACTCATCTTGCAGGATTGAGATATTTTCAGCTGTATCCAATTTAGGGCTCGGCTTTTCCTTTCAGAGGGATTGCTCCTGAAACAATCTTTCTCACTGGTCTCCCCGCCCCCATCCTCTAAAGCTTGTTTGTAGATTTGGGGATTGCTAACAGATTTTAAGAAGAACAAGAAATCTCTGAAATACTGCATAGCTCAAAGCCCCAAACAGGGACACTTGAGAACTTGCCTTTAAAAGAATTTTTTTTTTTTTTTTTTTTTTTTTGTCAAGGGGTGGTCTCCAGCTGTCAGTCAGCTTTCTTCTCCAGATTCAGCCATCAGGGATGAGGATCCCACAGAGATTTGCAGATTTAAGCTTGGAACTTCCTGTAGGCTCCATAGACCTTCTTTAAGGGTATGACCTTCTCTTTCTATTTGATTTCTTTCTTAGCATGTTGGATCTTGTCAATGCCAGATCCATGAACAGAGGCCACCAGGTAGATGTCAAGAGTAGAATATCCAATAAATTATTGGGAAATAAACAGTCATCCTGCTTGTCCAGCCAAGAGCCTGCAGTTTTGCCATTGCGAGAGGTCGGGAATGGACAGGGTAATTAGTAAGAGTACACATGTTGGGGGTCAGGCCGAAAAGCAAACCAAATTTCGGAATTCCTAGAAGGCACAAAAGTGAAATCCACATAACATCAACCCAACATTCAGAGACAAAGTCGAGTAATTGAGAATATGATTGTCAGTCCGACCTCTAATCCAGACATAAATCCATTATCTATACTTTTGGGCAGATGGTTTAATCTTTCTGTATATGACTTTCCTCATCTGTAAAGTAGGAGCTTAAGTGACTTTCTTATAGAGTTCTTGGGTAGATACAATAAAATAATGTTAACTGAATCTCTTGCCTGACACAACAGTAAATGCTTAATATGTTGGAGTGATTTTGCTTTCCAGTTTCTAATGTGGTCCCTTCAGAGGCAGAGCAGGCATGAGTCGGAGAGGGTCTGAGCCCCCAAAGCAGGTGCAGAAGGGACCAGACTGGGAGTGGAACATGATAAGGAAGAGGTGGTCCGCGGGGACATGGCTCTGGGCGGGCCCATGCTCTTATAGCAGAACACTGAGCGCATTTGCCCTCGCTGTCCTTTATCCCTTCCTCAATTTCTGGTCGTTTTAAAGAAGTTTCAGCTGCCCTGATTTTGTTGTTATTATGGTGTCCTTTAGTTAATATGTGGTTAAGGTATAACGAACTTAGAGAAAAGTACAAAATCATAAGCAGACAGCTCAGTGAATTCTCACAGCCTGAGCACACTCATGTAAGAAACTCAAGGTCAGAACAGTTCTAGAGATCCCACAGCCGCCTTCTTGCTCCTTTCCAGTCACTATTCCTGCCCCACAGGGAGCCATTATTCTGACTTTTATCAGTAGACATCAGTTTTGTCCATTTTTGGACTGTATATAAATGCAATCATATACTATGTGCTCTTTTATATATGGCTTCTTTAGTGTAGTATTTGTTTGCCAGATCAACCGACCCATATGGTGGCTTGGATTTGGACTTCATTTTGAATACATGTCTGTAGCATTTTGTGGTGTGTATGTGTGTCCCTGTTCATTCCGTGTTGGTGGGTATTTGGAACGACCCCAATTTAGGGGGATACTGGATAGTGTTTCTCTGAGCATTCTTGGACATGTCTTTTGTTGAACCTGTGCACTCGTTTCTCTTGAGTTTATCTCTAAGGATGGAATTACTGGGTCAGCTACCAAATAGTTTTCCAAAGTGGTCACATCAATTTACTCTCCCTAGTAATGTATGTAAGTTCTGGCTGCTCCACATCTTCCCCATCTCTTGGTCTTATCTCTTTGTCATTTTAACTTTTCTGGTGGGTCTAGTGTACTGCACTGTGGGTTCAAATTTTCATTTCCCTGGTGACAAACGCAGCTGGGCATCTTTTTTGATTGGAAATCTGTGACTTGGAGAAGCTAGAAGTTCTCTTCAAAGACATAGAACTAATAGGTGATTCTAAATGACGGGTCTCATGACACTCTGTGTCAACCCTGCTTCTCCAAACTAAGGTGTAGATTTAGGCAGCAGTGATCAGAACAGGGAGGCAAGACTGAAGCATCTTGAGTAGTATATTCTGTTCTGGGCACTCCACTCGAAGAAGGATGAAGATGAATGAGGGTATGTTTAGAGGAGAGTGACCAGGTCAGCAATCAGACCAGTAAGGGGAACAGTAAGAATAACTGGGATTGTTCGACCTATAGGGAGAAGTCAAAGGGGAATGGAAAAACTGCTATTTAATTTATGGAAACACACACACACACACACACACATACACACCCCTTGTAAACCACGCATTTATAAAACAAGCTAATTAGTGTTGGAACCGGCAAGCAACCAAACAAAAAGAGACATTTTAAGGGAGGTTCCTATTTTCTCACTGACAGGACACACATTAACTAGACTTAGCAACAGCTGCTCTGGTGGGGAGATAGTTTTCTTTGGGCTGTCAGCAAGTTTTGATTTTTTTCTCTCTCATCCTCCCAGAAAATTCCAGTGTGATAGCACTGTTTCAGTAGTTAGCGAAATAGCTAGTGTAATGCAGAAAGCACCCTCCAGTCCCTTTCTGAGTGGAAGGATGGGGTCACCTCACTTTTCCAACAAGACTATGAACTCTGGATACACTACCATCCTCCCAAATATCACCCCCCCAAATCCTCCCAAATACCATCCCCCAAAATAACAGCCCTAGAAAGACATTTTCTAAAGGTGCATAGATTAGCAGTCCATACATGCTTATTGACTGATTAAATTAATACATCCCCAAAAGTCATACACATTCATATTTAGCAGAAAGCGAATGCTCTGCATATATGAAAATGAAAGGAACCACACAAGGGATATTCAAAGTTGGTAGCAGGACTAGAAATGCTTCACACTGCATAAGCCAAGGAAGGTAAGGAGTTAAACTGGCCTCAGAGGATCAAAAGGCCAGATGTGTTGGGATGGATCCAAAAGTTATTCCACAGGATTGGAGTGGGAGAAAGAGAACTATTGCTTGGGAACAGTGAGGGCTGAAGAGCAAGCAGTATGCTATTCAAAATCACGTGTTCAAACACAAGATGCAACAAAAAGTGAAACAGTCCCTATCTGTAAGAAACTCACAGCACACTGATTAGAATACAGTGAGTTAAGTGATCAAATAGGGCCGACATGTTGCTTCGTAGGCTTATGTAGAATGGCCACTAATCCCATCTGCCCTTGGTAAGGAAAGTCTTCCTCTAGAGGATCTCCAGGTAGGGAATGTGAGATAAAGTTCACATTCTGGTAGAGGAGGTTACATGTGCATGAGAGAGTATGATAAATTAGGACAGTGGTTCTTAACTATGGCCACATATTAGAGCCACTTGGGGGACTTTAAAAACAACCAATCAACTTCCACTTCTGGCTATGATTCTAGGAGAACATGCCTGTATATGAATATATTTCCCAGTCAAGATAATAAAAGCTCTATAAAAGGAAAAAAGCGAACAGTTCCTTGAAGGCATTGGAGAATAACTGAAGCAGCCAAGCATTGTGGGGCCAAGATCCTAGAAAAAAATCAGGCTCAATATTCTCCGATGCTTTTATTCTCGAAGTATCTGTTGATTTGTAAGCATAATGGGACTGAGAGACTGAGCAGAAAGCAGTGAATCAGAGCTTTTGGCAGTCTCATGGGGCTAACAAGACAAAAATTGGAGTTCATGGCAAAGCAGCTGGAACAAGGAAGACCAAGATCCCAGAGAAAAAAGAACCTCAGAGAAGCGAGTCCAATATTCTGTCTTGCTTTCGCCTTGAGGCATTTGCCAATTTCTAAGTTGCATGGGTCAGCATAGAGACTATAAAGCAATGCAGAACTTTCTGTAGTCTCACAGTGCTGGGGGCCAATTATTGGAGTTCAGGACACAATACAGATGAAGGCCTTATAAACGTTGAATCTTACAATTGAGATCCATATAGGCTATATCCTAAGATTAAGGGAAAATCTAAGAAACATCAGCGCTTACGAAAACCAAAATCAAGTTTTTAGTCATCTCAATTATTACTCAAAGTAGTCTTTTTAATTTAATTACAAGCCAGAAGGAAATTAAAACTCTTGTAGAGGAAGATAACATCACTCAAGACCTGTACAATTTATTATACGTAATGTTCAGCATTCAATTAAAAATCACTCAGCATTCTAGAAGGAGAAACAAGAGAAAGAAACAAACAATAGAAGTAGACCATTACATAATTCAGATATCATTATTTGGCGCAGTTTTTATTGGTAATAAATATGTGCAAAAGTAGACAACAAGAAAGAGAATTTCATCAGAGAACTTGAATCTGTAAACAGGAATTTAAAGGAAATTTACCAAAATGAAAACTACAATAACTGAAATAAAAAGTCAGTAGATGAACTTAAGAGAACAATAGACATATCAAAAGAAATGATTAGAAAAGTTAAATGTAAGCTACCTGAAAATATCAGAATGAAGCACAAAGAGAACAATAGTTGGAAAATGCCCCCCAAAAAGGTGTAAGAGACAAATGGAACATGGTAAACAGTTCTAACAACCTGTAAGTGCAGACTCAGGAACAGAAGAGAAAGAGAATGGGATAAAAGCAATATCTGAGGAGATATTCTGTAAGAAATTTTCAGAACTGATAGAAATCGTCCAGTTGCAAATTTAATAAGTACTATGAACATCAAATGAAGTAAACAGAAATAAACCATACCTAGGAACATCAGAGTCAAACTGCTTAAAATCAAAGATGAAGAGAAAATCTTCAAATGAGGCCATATTAAAAAGGCACATTATCCTCAAGGGAGCAGCGATGAAACTGACATTTAACTTCCCAACAGAAATGCTGGAAGCAAACTAGACAATGGGATGCCATATTTACCATGCTGAAAGAAAGTATCTCCCATGCTAGAATTCTATACCCAGTGAAAATATCCTTCAAAAGGGAAGATAGAATGAAGACATTTTAGACAACCAAAAGTTGAGGGAATTTGCTACCACATGTAAATCAAAAGATATTTATTGTATATAACAGCAGCAACAAAATCATGTCTTTAGGATTCAAAAGAACATAGAGTTAAAATGCATGAATATTACAACATAAATGTAGAAATCAGAGTAAATGTAGTTATAGAGTTCTAAGATTTGCATTATCTGGGAAATAGTAAAAGTATCAGTTTATGACAGATTCTAAGACAGCAGAATCTCTAGGACAATGTTTTCTGAAGTGTGATTCCTGGAACACCTGGAAATTTGATAGAAATGCAGTTTCTTGGGTTTCCTCCTTGACCTGTTGGAGAAGAAAATCTGAGGTGAAGCCCAGGAACCTGAATTTTCAAATGCTTTGCAGGTGGTTCTGATGCATGCTAAGGTTTGAGAATCACTAGTTTAGAATAACTACTGAAAGAAGAATAAAAGAATTTACAACTAATAAGCTAATATTAATAGAGGGGGAGGATGGAATAATAGAAATGATTGATTAGTCTATAAGGAGCCAAGAAAGGGAAAATTATGCACGGAGAAGAAATGGGACAACTAGAAAACAAATAAGGTGAAATACTTTAAAACCAAATGTATCAGTAATTAGTTTAAATATAAATTCATTACACACTCCAGTTAAAAAATAAAAAATGTCTAAATGGATAAAAGTGCAAAAGTCAACAAAATGCTGCTTATATAAAAGATACATGTTAAATGTAAGGGCACAGAGAAATTGAAAGCAAAATGATGAAACAAGATACACAAGAAAACGTTAACCAAAGTAACTGGTCTAGTTATATTAATATCAAACAAAGCAGACTTTAGGAGAAGTGATTCCAGAGAAAAATAGAAATATTTCAAAATGTTAGAAGGGTCAACCTATGAGGAAGTTACAGTAGTTATACACTTAAAATAGCCCCCAAATAAATAAAGCAAAAAATGACAGAAGTAAAGAGAAAATAGGAAATTCTACTAACAAAGTGTGAGATTTTAACATAACTCTCAGAAAATACATGAAATGTCAGTAGAATTACAGAAAATTTAACAACACAATTAACAAACCACCTAAGTGACAATCTATAGAACACTGAAACTTGTAACAGCAGAACACATTTTCTTTTCAAGTGCTCATAAAGTAATTACCAGAATAAACTGTAGACTGAGCGGTAAAGTAAGTTTCCAAAAACTTCAGAGGATTGGCATCATATATGGAATAGATTCTCAGACTATAATGAAGTATATAAATTAGACCTATGACTCAAAAAAGAAATCAAAATTGACTCCAAAGACCTAAACAAATTCAAATCTAGTGATATACAACTAAGAGACTACATCATGACCAAATGGGGATTATGTCAAGAATGCAAGGTTAGCTTGACTTTAGAGAATCAATCTTTATAACTCACACCGAATTAACAGAATAAAAGAGGAAATATATAATCTCAAGAGGTGCAGAAAAAGTACTTCATAAAAATTAAAACTGTTTATTATTAAAACTCTCAACCAAGTAAGATTAGAAGGGATCTTAGTTTGCAAAGGGTTTGCATTTAAGGCTGAAATATTGAAAGCTTTCCCTTTGACACTGGAAATGAGACAAGTATGTTCACTATTTAGACATTTAGACATATCACAAGTATGTATTTACAATATCCCGAAAGACTATATTGATAAATGTTTAGAACTAAGAACTTAATTCAGCAAAGACACTGGATACAAGGACAATATAAAATTAATTGTGTTTCTGTATACTACTCACAAATAATATAAAAATAAAGTTTTAAAGATGATAAACTTTACAATAGAAAAAAATTACCAAATACCTAGAACTATGTCTGAAGAAACAGGTAGACTTCCACACTTTCAATTGGACAACGTTTTTGAGAGAAATTAAAGAAGACCTAAATGAATAGAAAGATAGACAATGTGGATCAGAAGGCTTAATTTTATAAAGATGTCCATTTTCTCAGAATTGATCTATTGAGTCAACGCAATTCCATTCAAAATCCCATGGCTCTTTTAAAATTGACAAGCTGATTCTTAGCTGTGTGTGACATGCTATGGGAACAAGAGTAGCTAAGAACATCTAGGGGAAGAAGCACAAAGCTGGAAGACTTGCATTATATAAATACTTACTATGAAGTTATATTAATTGTTAGGTGGAATGGGTGCAAAGATAGACAAAGAGACAATGGAACAGAATAAAGAATTCAGATGCAGACCTACACATATATGGTTGTTTGACTTGTAAGTTGCTACTTCAGTGCAATAAAAAGTATAGTCTTGTCAATAACCAGTTCAAGGTTAATTTGATACCCATTTGAAGAGGAAAAAGAATTAACTCCTTCCTTACATCATACACACAAATGTTTTTCATGTGGATTGTAAATCCAACTGTGGAAGGGAAACAATAAATATTCAAAAGAATAACACAGGAGAATATCAACTTGGGTGGCCAATATTTTTAAAATTCTGTATACAATCATAGCAAAAAGATTGAAAATTGGACTTTATTAAAATGATTAAAATTATGAATGAAAAGTCACTAAAAAGAGTGACTAGACAAGCCACAGCATGAGAGGAGGTGTTTATAATACAAGCATCTGCAAAAGAATTAATGTATAGAGTATATAAAGATCTACAAATCAACATGGAAAAACAGACTTCACAAAAGAGGAAATGGACAAAATAAATATATGGAAAGATCTTTAAATGTATTAGTTATCAAGGAAATTAAAAGCACAATGTGATACAACTACACAGACATCAGAATGTTAAAAATTTTTTTTATTGAAATATAGTTGATTTACAATGTTGTGTTAACTTCAGGTGTACAAAAAAGTGATTCAGTTATACATATGCATATACATATATATCTAGTCTTTTCAGATTCTTTTCTAGTATAGGTTATTACAAGATAATAGAGTTCCCTGTGCTATACAGTAGGTCTTTGATGTTCATCTATTTTATATATAGTAGTGTGTATATGTTAATCCCAAATTCCTAATTTATCTCTCCCCTTTACCCTTCTTGTAACCATAAATTTGTTTTCTATGTCTGTGAGTTTATTTCTGGGTTGTAAACAAGTTCATTTGTATCATTTTTTTTTAGATTCCACATGTAAGTGATATCATATGATATTTTGTCTTTCTCTGTCTGATTTCTCTGTCTGACTTCACTGAATACGATCATCTCTAGGTCCATCCATGTTGCTGCAAATGGTATTATTTCATTCTTTTTCATGACTGAGTAGTATTTCATTGTATATGTATCACGTCTTTTTTAATCCCAGAATGGTTAAAATTTTAATAGAAACTCAAATGCCAAGTTTTGGAGAATGTGGAGCAAATGGAAAATTTGTAGCAGCATTACTCATACATAATATTCCTTGATGGAACCAGCTAAATGCCAAAGAACAACAGAATGGGTAAATAAAAAACAATATATTTACACAGTAGCATCCTATAACATTGGGAATCAGCAAGTTACTTTTACCACAAAAACATGGATGAATCTCACAAATAAATTATTGAGTGAAAGGAGTGAGCTATCAAAGAACACACGCTACATGATTCCATTTATATGTAGTTCAAAAATGGACAAAATTTAATCTATGGTACTAGGAGCAAGAAGGGTTTACCTGGAGAAGGTGGGTAATGACTTGGAGGAGGTGCAAAGGAGATTTCTGGGCTGTGAGCAATATTCTATGGTCTCGATAGGGTGGTAACACAGAAATGTTCACTTTGGGGTTGGCAGATCTGAGCTTGAATTCTGGATTATTGGGAGTATAACCCCGACAAATATCTTAACCTTTCTAAACTCTCAGTTTCTTCATTTGTAAAGCTTAGTTACTAAGACCTAGTAAGGATCAATGAGGTGCTGAAGGTAAAGCTTCTAGCTCAGGGCCTGACCTGAGCTGGATTCTGGACAGATGTTAGTTCCTTTTATCTCACTTGGTATGCACTGCCTGACTCAGCTGGACAGGACGCCACCTCCAGCCCCTCTTCTCCCCTACCTCCCATGTCCATCAGTGAGGCATTCTTTGTGAAAGGACTTATCCTTTAATGGGGTCAGTGGCCATCTCTGCAAGAGGGATGCAGCCAATGGCTATTCAACAGACTAAAGATATCTGACTTGACTGGGAACCAAACCTATAACCTTGACTTTATTGGGCTGGGGTGCAGGCTGTATGTACAGCACCTGTGCCTCAAGTGTGCAGGATCATTTCTAGTTCCAACTCTTCACGGGGAGAGCATGGCCTCTTTGATGTTGATAGATGCCTGTTCCTCTTCTTCATTCTGTCTCTTGGAGTGAGGGATGAAGCGATGATGGAGAGGGTGCTTTATGTATTTGGCTGAATCCCAATTTGCAGGATTGGATTTTACCTCCCTGGATTCTCCCTGCAATTCCTCTTGGATCGAGTGTCCTCGGCTTCCTGTCCTAAACTGCTGGAGGGTGAGTGGTGGGCAGCTGTAAAACATCTGCCACTGCATTCCACCTTCATTAGAGAGGTGGGCAAAGTGATATATGTGTGAATTCTTCCAACAGTGTGTGTCTGTGTGCACTTGTATGAAATTTCTTTTTTAAGGCCTTTCTTGGAGTTTTGGGGATGAAAGGCAGCATGGAGTTGGCGCTATCATGATTACAGTGAGACCTTCGTTTTGCTTGGGCAGATATAATGTTTCCCAGGCATAAAACTTTTTTTTTTCATTTAAAGAGGCAGCCTAGAGCACATTTCAACTTGAAAGATTTTCCTTTCTGGATGGTGGTTTTCTCCTCCGAGTCCTTGTGA